AAAAACAAAAAAAACCAAGCAACCCCCACCCCCCCAAAAAAATCCCCCGAGAACAAAAAAAAAAAAAAAAAAAAAAAAAAAAAAAAAAAAAAAAAAAAAAAACGTTTCTGAGTAGTAGGGATGGATAAGGTCCTTGAAAGACAGAATAAGGATTAGTCTTTAACCAGTTTCGCGGTTATTTGGTCCCCGGTCTGCAATCAGCCCGAGCCAGTCTTTATTAATAGTTAAAAATTACCAATTAAAAAAAAGTATATCCAGTTTGATTTTTCAATATAATTGTTTACACGGAAGTTTTACTCTAATTGACGTTGAAAAGTTCTGAAACGCGTCACAATCAATAAAAGAGCTTTTCTAGTACAAATAAGAGATAAAGAGTAAATAAAAACAAGTAAAACAGCTATACTAAGCCGTAGAAAGAAGTATTATCACTTATTATTGAGACGTTTGGGTATTGAAGGATGGGTTTGTCATGAAGTAGAAATTGATTAGAAATCATTATTTAAAGATTATTTATTACTTTTTAAATTTTTTTTCATATAAATAATGATAAGGATATAAAGAATTTTTTGGTTCTCATAACATAAATTTTAAAAGTGACCCGCCAACCCGGATAAAAATTTCATATGACAAAAATTTTTTATTATATCATAGTTGAAAATTTTTAAAAAGGTCACCCGGTCGGGTTATGAGAACCAAAAAAATAACTTTATATGGCCTAACTCAAAATTTAAAACTCTTGATATGACTTAAATCATAATAATTATATATTTTATAATTTGAAAAAATTTAATATCAGATAATTATTACATAGATAATTTACGTCACAATTAGAGATGGGCAAGGTAATAATGTAAGTACCGGTAATAATAATTAATTATTTTTTTAAACTTACGTATTATGTATGATTATTACTTATTATGATTTTCAAATGTAATCTGGAGAGTAAATTTTTAAACTCAATAATTTGTTGATCGAATTGAATTTTGCATCTTTACTTATGTAATAATATGTTACTTACTTTGCCCATCTCTAGTTACAATAAGCTTATTAGATCAAAAATCAATCACTGATGAAAAGTAAGTTTAATTAATATTTAATAGTGATATTATCAATGGTTTTAATAATATCAGGAGTGAATTTGGAAGCAATTTTTTAAGAAAACGTCCTTTAAAACTTACCGTTACCTTTGATCTATAATTAAATACGTAAATAACATTATATTCTATATATTTAAATATAGGTCCGCTAACTAATAAGATGATTAGATGTTTAAGTAAATAAGGACAATTTTTGGGACCTAAAACATTAATGGACCGGCCGGTCTATTAGGACTTGTCCATCCCTACCAAATAGTAAATCGATTTGCAGACTTTTCGATTAAATAATGAAGACAGGATTTCAATTTAAAATTGAAACACCTAAATTACAAAAGGACAAGAAACTTCTTTATTCAATTAAGAAGGAAGCTTTTGGTGATAATATCTTTAAAATCGAAACACCATGTAACTTACATTTGGTGTTTAAACAAATACATTTAATTAAAAAAATGTTCCAAAAAATTCCATCTAAATCTAGGAGTAAATTTAAACTCATTTCCTGGCAAAAATACCACATGCCTAATGCGTCACACGAGACAGTTAAGCTTGTTGAAGAGCCTGAAGAAGTACATATCAAAAAAGAAACTGATATATTATTATTACAAAAGACTGGCGAATGGCCCAATATATTATTACATAACTTATTGATTAAGGGTAGTATATACTGTATTTTTTACTGGTGACACTTATTTTACCGACAGCTAAGGTTGGCCCGATTAGAGTTAGGGAAACGATTGTCGGAAAATCATATACAAACATTTGCACTTAGTATTTTTTTTTTTTTTCAAAAATTTAAATTATGTTTATAATGTGCCTGCTATTAATTAGGCCATACAAAATAATTTTTGATTTTCATAACATAAAATTTTAAAACGGACCCGGAAACCCGGCTTTTTTTTTTAATTTTTATATATAAAAATTGTACAAAATTTTTTAAAAAACCCACCCGGTTATTATTACATATAAAAAAAAACAGTTTCAAAAGTTTTAAAATTTTGACCCGGCCGGGTTATGTAAAACAAGAAAATTTTTTTATATGGCCTTATATATAAACATGTGTCCAATTTTTAAAGAAAAGAAAAAGGTATAAGGCTATAAAAAAAAATTTTTCTTGGTTTACATAACCCGGCCGTGTCAAAATTTTAAAACTTTTGAAACTTTTTTTTTTTTTTTTTGATATGTAATAATAATCGGGTGGGTTTTTTAAAAAAATTTTGTACAATTTTTATATATAAAAATTAAAAAAAAAAAAGCCGGGTTGCCGAGTCTGTTTTAAAATTTTATGTTATGAAAACCGAAAAAATTATTTTGTATGGCCTAATTGTAAATTATAGATAAAAAAGAATTTTTGTTCATTTACAGCAATTCATTTCATCAAGTACAATAAATTTCAAAGACATTTTTAGAATTTAAAATTTAATGAATGAAAATTAGATCTATATTATTAGTGATATCGTTATATCGATATATATTTAATTAATTACAAGTTGTCCTTAAATAATTTATAAGTCCTAAAACAGGGCGGTGACTCATTTTTTGTGATCCCGAAGAAAACTATATTGATAAGAATCAATATTAAATTTATTTACAAAAATATTGACAAAATATTTGTTTAGTTTTCGCTATAAAAATTAACAATCGTGTACATCGCTCCGACAACACCCGATTTAAACGGTTAAGCGGCAAGACAAAGATTTAAGCACGTACATATATATAATAAAAATTAATTTGATGATGTAATAATTTTTTAATAATTTGATACGTAGATAGATTAGACGATATTATTGAAATATTAACCAAATCGTGAGTCAATAAAGGTTTGACTAATATTGTATATTATTTATGTATTTTAAAGTACGATATCTTATAATCAAGTATTAATCGAACTAATATCGATATCTTATGATCTGTACTAATCGATGATAATATCCGATATCAGATATATTTTTAATTAATTATTAAACATGTGGTGTCTAGACTATGTCCAAATCGATTCAAAAAAAAAAAATATAAATAATAATAATAAATGGCTATTCAATTTAAATTAATTGTTTATCATAACGTATCTGATATAATTTTTTAAAAAAAAAGAGTTTAGGGTTAGAATAAGTTATAATATAGTAATTTTACGAGGAGTCTTTTTTGTTAGAACGTAAAAGTTTGTTTACTAGGTATAATTTTGAGTTATTGCGATTTGAATTTTTTATATTTTTAAATTGTGCAATCTAATACGTACAGTAACTTATAAACTTGGGTAAATTAGTTAACCTGAGTTAGTTAACCTGAGACAGGACTTGGTAATACGCCGAATAAGGACCACCCGCTCGGCTTTTAAATTTTATATAATAAAAATTAAATACACAATTACACTTCACATGCATAATAAATTGTATTTTATATAAAAAGTGTTATTATTTGTTACATTGGCAGAGTGTTGATGATTAAAAATAATATTAGCGAGAATGGAATTATAATATTATTAATAAGTTCTTTTCGAACGATGTTTTTTCATAAAGTAAGAAAATGAAATATGCAATTGCGCAAAATAAATAAAAACCTCTAATAAACCAATAACATATAGAAATGTAGACTAACAAAAAAGAAAAAATCATAATACTGTCAAGAAAAAGTGTGCATTTTAGAAATATGAAAATATATACTTTGAAGCTTTATAATTTAAATTACTTAATTTTGTAATTCATTATAATTCTTATACATTAATAATAAAAGAATAGAAACATAAAATATGATTTATAAACATTTTTAAAAGGAATTAATAAAGCAAAATTTTAAAAGTTCATATAATAAATAATAACATATACTTAGAGATAATTTAGATAATTTCTATAGCTTACGAGGAATATGATAAATTTTGTAAGATATTAATATTTAAAAAAGTAGAACTGATTATAAAATAAATTTAATAAATTGTATCAAAGTTCATCATAATTAAAGTTTAATAATTTGGTGTGATTCCTTCGCATATACACATTTCGTTAGAACCTTGAGTACTCTGATATTGTAGGTTAAAGGCGAACCCTTCGTGTACCATTTCTTCTTCCATGGTTATTGAAGCTGATGGTGGTCTTATTTGTAGAGCATTAACATGTGGGATAACCGATCGAGACGTGCCGTTATTATTTATGGGACGTATGGAAAATTGTCTATTACGACGGATATTTCTTTTAAATCTTAAACGCGAATTTCGGTTGTTGAATGCCATTTTTGAAGGATATCTGATGAAAAATTTTTTTGTCTCATTTTTATACGGATAGACTGATAAGATAACGCAGTAAAGTAAAGCCGTTTTATAATAATACAATTGTTTATATTGTTCATTTCAATTCAAGCATATAGCATTCATTAAAGTTTATCGATAGCAATAAAAGCTATACATAAAATTATTAGAAATGTTTATTGTAAAATCTTTTATAATAATCCAATATAAATTCTGTTCCTTGGCGTTACGATGTTTACTTATTTTAAAGTACATCAGATATTGTATATCGATATAGTTTATTAATCACAATCTAGTAATCAATTCAATCTACGGGTTATGCCAGTTAAGTTATTACTTATTTAGGACTAACGTGACCTAATGTTATCTATCTTTGATACTCCTTATTAAAAGTACTGGCTGCATCAAAAAATTGTTTATTTATTATAAAACCTAAAATAAAATCCAAAAAATTTTATCACAAAATTAGATTAGTGTTTGAATTAATTTAAGCAAGTGATTTTTGTTAAACCATAAATTTCTAATGCTACGCCAATCCCGATTGGTTTTCTATCGATTACGTATCTAAATTAAGTTTGTATACATATCAGATATAAATATTTTGAAAATTTTACTATATATAAAAATATAGATCTTTATAATAATTTGAAATTTCGTTTTTTTTGTAATAATTAATTATAATATGGCCATATAAAAAATTATAGATATATCTAAATACAGTATATAAAATTACAGTACATAAAAAAAAGTTATTTTTTTTAATTAATCCACCGGTTATTATTATTAATAATAAAACTAAAAAAAAATTTAAAATGTTCAAACTTTAATCCGGCCGGGGTGTGAAAAATCAATTTATTTATTTATTTTATCGCCTAATAACAAATGTTTTATGTATCTATTATAAATATCTATAATATGGTGAATTTCTATATATTTGTATATTATATACTTCAAAATATTTATAAAAATTAATGAATATATGAAAGTCCTAACATTAATAGTTCAAATTACTTTTATTATGGATGAATGTTTTAATTAATATCAATATAGTACAAAGTACTAGTTACAGTTACACGAAAAATTTAAATTAAAACCTACTTAACATTATAACTGAAGAAAAGCCCTATTTTTTTTCTCCTCGGATTAGAAAAAATTTATGAGGTTTTATTTAATTTCCGCTAATATAGATTTAAAGAATACAAAATTTTTTTATCATATTGTTAAATGCTCGTTATGTTTTTTTTTCGTGTAACTTGTAGAGAACCCTATTCCTTAACTGTCTGGTATATGCCCAATAATCTTAATTTTTTAACCCCAAAAATCACATGAATTGTTACGTAAAATACATGAGGACTAATGGATCGTCGGAAATACGTAATACGTAATAAATATAAAATTTCAGATATTATAAAAATGCGCTTATAATTGTTTTGATTTGCAAATTTGTGTAACAAAAACCAAAAAAAATAAATTTTTATAAAAATAAAAAATAACTTTAGATTATTTTAAAGTTAGAGCGAGGCCTGAGATTTTATCTAGGCATTATTATATGCAAAATTTAGCAAAGAATTTTTTTAATTAGAGTTTTAAAAGTAGTTTTATAAGTAAAATTTTGTAAATATTATCATTTTTTGAAAAAATAAATAAAAAAAAACAAAATTTTAAATTATATTTGATCTTAAATTTTAATTAGCTATTTAATAGCTTTGTATGATATAGTATTCAACATCTATAGTATATTTTAATAATATTATAAAATTTTATTATATGATTTTTATAAATAATAAATTTATATTTTGAAGTTTTTATTCAAAATCTTAAATTATTATTTTAAGAATAGAATATAAATTTAAATTTTCTGATTTAATATAAAATGAATAATATATTTTTTTTATAATTTAAATTAAAGTATTGCTAATTTTAACTAAAAAAAATTTTCTAATATTAGCTAATAAATTTTAGAATCAAATATAATATATTATATAATAAAAACAAAAAAATATTTTAAAAAATACTAATATTTTAAAATTTTATTTATAAAACTACTTTTTGAAGTTTAACAAAAAAAATTTCTTATTAAATTTTGTATATACTAATATTTAAATAAAATCTTAAACTAAGGTTTAGTAATTTTAGTATAGTAGTTAGATTATCAGACTATTATAAATTTAGTCTTTTATATATTTTTTAAATAATTTATTTTATTTACTACTATATATATTAATTTAAATAATTTATTTCATTTTAGTTTTATACTAAATAATTTATTTTTTTTAAAAAAACTCTCTCTACAAACTCTTTAGACCAATTTAAAAGCAAAAGAAAAACATATAGAAAAGTAAAAATCTTATAAGAAAATTTAAAAAATCCTACTAAGTAAAAATTTATAGATAAGAAAATTATATATAACAATAAGAAAATTAAAGAAAAAGAGAAGTATAGAGAAGAAAAAACAAGAAAACACAAATTTTTAAAAAATTCTTTCTATCAGTATAAAATTTTTTTGAGGAATCAATAATACTCTAAAAATTTTGCTAATTGTTATACTAAAACTAGATAGTGCAGATTATACAAAATTAAGATTTCAAGTAATCAAAATAGTAATATATGTAAATATAAACAAGAAAACTAAACAAATATTATATAGTAGGTAAGTAAACAAATACATACCAATAACAAAGCAAAGAATAGACATCAACTTTAAACTAGATAACTTCTGAGGGTTTTTAATAAGAAATATATAGAATTTCAAATTTTTTACTGAGTATAAAGTAAATAGTAAGCTAGAATATAAAACAAAAAAAAACAAATAAGTTAATATAAGAGATTACATAGAAGTATAAAAATAAGATAGTAATAAATAGTAGCAAATCTGTCTTAGGTTTAGAAAAATATTTAGATAGAATATTAGTAAAATTAATAGGATTAAATCTAGAGATTATTCAAATAGCAAGACAATAGTGAGTAGCAATAAAAGGAGCTACAATAACAGAAAGACTAGATAAAGTTAGTAATATATTAGAACAAGATAATTTAATAAAAAAAGTATAGAATATAGAAGTAATTGAAGTAGAAGAAATAGTAATGAAAGAAAATATAATAATGTAAGAGCCTTTGAGTATACTGAATATGTCTGACTCAGAATTAAAACTAGAATCTAAGTCTAAAATATTAATCACAAATAATTTATATATAGAAACAACTAAGGTAATAGAAGATATAAAAGTAATAGAAGATATCAAAGATATAAGCAATAATAGTAATAGAAACAAAGAAGGGCTAGAAGATACAAAAGATTTAAACAGCAAAAGTTATAAAAGTATTATATTAGAAAAAAGTATTTGAGTATCTAAAAAGAATAGATATTAGTATAAAAGAGATATTATAACAAAAGTAGTAGCAATTAATATTATTAGAGATACTACTGAATATAGAATTAAGTTATTGAAATAGCTATTAAGAGAAAATGTACATATAAAAGATATTACAAAGAAATTTGCAAAAGAAAATCAATAGTGTATAATTATATTTGATTATAAAAAAGGGTTTGAAGAAGCTAAAACAAGACTAGAAAATCCTAAAAAAGGATATAAAAAACTTAAACAAAAACACAAAAAATAAGCCAAAAAGAAAACTTAAAAAGTAAAATAAAAAGGAAAACAAGAGAGAGAAAAGTAGACATAAAAAAGAAAAATGTGTTCAAAGAGAATTAGAAGAAATATTTGAGTAGAAAAAAAGAAAACTTTATCAAAATAATTACAAAAGAATCAGTACTAAATAAAGAAACTCAAATACATCAGTACAAACAAATATAGAGAAAGAGCATAATGAAAATAATAATCTGATAGTAGTTTAAAACCTTTTGAGTTAGACAAAAAGAACTCAGATCTTTAAATCTGTACAGTATCTAAAAAGAGTTGTATATATAGAAATGTTAAGAGGATAATAGAACAAAACTAGAGCAGAAATTACTTTCATATCAGATATAGCAAATACAAAAGAACTTGAGAATTTATAGTGCATATTCTTTATGAGTAAGTATTTAGTAAGAATAACTAGAGAAGCTAATAGCTTCAAAAAACTGAAAGAATGAAATAAGTATATAAAAAGATTAGTTAATTTATCAGAAGACACTAGTAAAATTCTTCTATGGAGACAAGTTAGATATACTGAAGCAAAAGTAGTGCATATTTTTAAAAATAATAATAATAATAATATAAGAAATATAATAGTTTTTTTTGCTAACAGAAAAGACTTAATAGATAGCTTAAAATTTGCAATATCTTATTATGATAACAAGCTTAGCTAGAATATAAGAACAAGTATCTCTGATAAAGAAACCTAAAGAACAAAAAAAAGAATAAAAGAAACCTTACTGAAAAAGAGTCTAAAAAGTTTAGAAAAGATGAAAGAAACAGAACAAGATTTAGAATAAAAATACTCTAAATTAGTTCAAAGAAAAAGGCAAAACAACAGAAATATATCAGAAGAGCAAACAAGATACTTATCAGAAAAGAAACTAGTAAACAAATAGAATTTAAGAGAATCTATTCTGATAAAGACAAGCGAAGATGAAGAAGAATCAATAAACTTAGAAGAAAGTAAACAGAAAATAATACAAAGGGTTAGTAAAAAGATAAGAGGAAAATTTTAGTTAAATAAAAATAGTAAATATAAGAAGACAATAAGAAAAAAAAATATATATAAAAATTCTAGATAGTATAATATCTATTGTAGAGGAAGAAAGTAATAATGAAAGATCAGATGATGAAACTAATTATGAATTTTAGAACTATAAAGTCTCAAATCACTTCTAAATTGTAGTACTAGTTGAATTACAGAAAGCTTTGAGTACACAAGAAGGAAAACTTGTAAATATAAAGAGAGTAAATAGAGAAAGAAATCACAAAAAAGTGAACAATTTAGAGTATAGTAAGATAAGATTAAGCATAAAAACTAAAGCAAGTAAAGATAAGAAAGACTTTAGAATAATATCTTTAGCTACATATAATTTAAATAGACTTAAGGCAAATGAACATAAAGTAGAACTACTACTAGAATGAGTACTAGAAAAAAATATAGATATTGTAAGAATAAATAAGACTAATATCACAAAAAGATAAAACAAATTTTTAATCAAAAAGGATAGCAACTATATAGATTTTTAAACTAATGCAGATGAAAATAAGATTAAAGGATTAAAAGTAGAACTAGCTATTAGCAAACATTAGGAAAAACATATTAGACAAATCTCATGATTTAGTAATTATTATATTGATATATTGCTAGTATTTAAAAAGATCAAACTAGTTATATTTGCAGATATATATATCTTACCAAATAACAAAGAAGAAAAAAAGAAATTCAGTAGCAGGTTATCAGAAAAATATGAGAATATAAAAGAAACAGAACTCGAGTTATAGTTATGAGGAATTTTAATAACATCAAAAATAGAAAGTTAGATCAAAATAATGAACTCTTAATTAGAAAACAATTATTCCTACTATTTAGATAGCTAGAAAACTCAAATCTAGAAGATCTTTTCAGAAAAATTCATTCATATAAAAAAGTATTTATATAGACAAATAGAATATCTAGTATAAGAATTAATTATATTTAGGTATCTAATATATTTAGCCAACAAGTAATAAGTTGTAAAAGCAGCGAAGCAACTTGTATTATAGGTAGTAATCATAGTATAGTAGTAGCAAAAATAGAAACAAATATTATAGAAAGAACTAAATTATTAGAAACTAGTAAATAGTTAAAAGGGAAAAAAAGAATCCTAAATCTAGAGAAAGTACAAAAAGAAGATTGTAATAATTACTAGAAAAAGCTAAATAAGAAATTACAAAAGAAGCTAAATCTAAAGGAGAATACAGAAATAACTGAGAGAAATGTAAAACAAAAAGTATTAATAAGATATAGGATATTATCTTAAACAGTATTATTAGTAGTATATATTCTTCTCTTCTATGCTATAAATTAGATCCTAAGATAGCTTCAAAGAAAAAATAAAACTATCCAATGTTTTACGATTTTCATCAACGTATGGTACTTCACAGAGAGCTTTTCTCATCCTTCTATTAGAATTTCTGTGTGGATCTACATTAATGTATTCGTAATGGAACCCTTGCCAATCTAATGGATTATAACCACCAATCAATTCACCGGTTTTTTGCATTTTGAGGATTATAACTGTTGGACCTTGAAAATCGCACAAAGTATGAAATGTTTCAACATCAAATCCATCTCTGCTTCCACGTAATAAAAGTTTAAATTTGTAAGGGTTATCATTAAAAGTATAATAATTATCTTCTTTTCGATCAATCCAACTTGAAATTATAGCCGCATCTTTAGAGTTAATTAACTTTGAATCTAGAGTGATACTAAGAGCTCTTGGTGGAGGAATTTGAGACTTATCAATAGTACCAGGATTCAGATGATATTGTAGAACTAGTTCGTCGATATGTTCAGGAATAATCTTTTTAAATCCTTTTCGAACTTTAAGATAATAATCATTGCTTGATATTTGACAGAATCTAATTAATGGAATACAACGAGAAACACATTCATTAAATGCTTCAAGATCCTGACCATTCCAGTTTTTAGGGTCATGATCTAACTCCGCAGCTTCTATACCCCATCTAACTAAATAATCCCAAATTTCTATTTCTTCAAGTTCAAGATCATCACTTTTGAGAATTAGGAACAGAGCATCTTCTTCCAATGAAAGAAAAACATCTGAATCAAAAAGAATGTAAGGATTTCTACATATAAGCCTTAGAACATGGATACGTAATTTTTTAAAATGATCATTTCGAGATACAATATGAAGTGATGTTAAGAGATTAGAAGATATCCATGATGAATGATATTTTATTATGTGCTCTTGAGCACATTCAGTTAATTTATGAAGTTCGAATTCATCAGATGCTAAAAGGATGTTTAGCGCGTGGTCTCCTAACGTGTCAAATGTAATATTTCCAGTGTAAATATACCTATTTTATTCAAATTAATAACTATTATTATAATATTATTATTAAAGAAATTTAAATAATTATAATTATTCTTAAATTTAACTCACTTGAGGATAGCATCAAAAGTATCTGGTGAAATATTAGGTTTCGTTAATTTGTAAACTCCATGGTCCTCACGTGCCCAATGTCTTGAAAGAACTTTTTGAAAATATTCTGACCTAGCACGCAAAATAATTGAATGTGCACCAAATTCCTTAATATCTAGGTCTTTACCAACAGTTATTCTTACATCAAAGTCTTCGCTGGATTGTAATAAATGGCCCAACTCAGCTGATACATCAAATGAATGATTATAATTCATTTTAATTTTGTTATTTTTGTGAGAAATAACTAAAAACAATCCAACGATAAACCGCAAAGATAGAAAAAAAATTAAGCCAAGTCAGGACCAATAAATCGTTCTTTAGATTACAATACTAAAGTGTTAATCTAACAAAAAAAAAAATGAAAACATGATAACGGAGTTTTTTATTACCATTATTTGGTCATCTGATGGTAATTTGCTTATATAAAATTTGAACACGTTCTACATTGATGAGTAATTGTGAGAACTTTCATTAAATGTCATTTGAAATATTAATAATATAAATAATTGTTGATCATATACTAATACTGACTAACTATTCTAATACTAATTAATAGTTGCCATACACGTGTAAATATCCGACCTATTCTTAAAAAGATTGTAATATGAAAATACCATATATATTACATTTTAGTTGTACTGCCCATTGTTATGAAGCCAATTAACTCATTACTCTATATTAGTTATTTATAAAAAAATATTATATTTGAAATAGTTTATGCCATGTACGAACATACAGTACGTACAGTAAATACGTAGGTACGTGCGTACAAATAATTTAGCTTATCTTAGATCTGCCATATGAAATACTTTATTGTACTCTTCGACTCCCAATTAGAAGCTTCTAAATATTTGATGGACATTAAAAACTTTGTAAATCTATTCACTAATATTAGCGCTGTCGGATTCGACCCTTCTAAGAATGATTCACAATGATTACATGTGATCAAATATGTATTAAGCTAATCGTTCTAGTCAATTCTCTTAAAAGACATGTTAATATACCCAACGAAATTTCTTCTATCAGAATGATTACTGCAAGAAGTATTACAAGATTTTCAATTTATTAAATACTGCAGTATACGTATAAAATACATAGTTGATCTGCTGTGATAAGCAAAT